AGGAGGAGGAGGAGGAGGAGGAGGAGGAAGAGGAGAGGGCTTAGAATGGCCAGGCTGCAGTGTAACAATAGCAGCGTCAGCATCTCCTCCAGGCACAAATCTGTCAGTAGTGATGCTGCCTCACCTTGTGTTTTAAGCATTTAATACTGTAGCATCATCAGAATTCTTCTACTGCCATGAGTCAACTGCCTCCTGGACTAGTCAGGCCAGTTGTTATGGAAACACCACAATCAGGCAGTGAATAAGATCACTGAGACATTCATATAGATATTTTCAGAATGTTCTGAGAATATCTAACTATGAATCAAATCTAGTCACAATATTCCCCAGAAAAGAATGCATGTAATTTTATAATGCCTACTTTAATTATGCAAATATCTTAAAACAGGATTTATAAAAATGCCATAACTTCTTGTATGCTTCTCGTTTCCTTTTTTTGCAGTGTTGGGGATCAAACACAGGGCCTTATGTATGCTAGGCAGGTGCTCTGCTACTGAACTATATCTCCAGCCCCTTAAAAAGAAACTTCAGCCGGGCGTGGTGGTGCATGCCTTTAATCCCAGCACTCCGGAGGCAGAGGCAGGTGGATCTCTGTGAGTTCAAGGCCAGCCTGGTCTACATAAAGAGTTCCAGGACAGCTGGGGCTACAGGGAGACCCTGTCTCTAAAAGACAAAAACAAAAAAACAAAACAAAAAAAAACCCAAAATAAAAAACTTCCTAAAGCACTTTCATAAAACAGGGATGCTTTGTTCTGCCTAGTTATCTTCAGAGAAGCAATTTTCTATTGATAGCATTGGTACTATTCAGCGCTGGGGAACCAGACAGGATTTTTAGACAGAACCATCTAGAAGCAGAGGGTTGGTGGGACAACACAAGTCTTAGGTGAGAAGGGAAGCCCAGTCAGCAGAGGCAGAGGTGGGTATGCGATCAAGGGTGAAAGCAAGTCAGAGAGTCAGAGATGGAATAGAAATAAGAAATGTGTTTCCATAAACCAATGGTGAAATGATACATTTATTGGTAGATAAGTTGAGTAAACCAGTTCATTACATAAAGAAAAATAGAACTATGACCAGTGATTTAAAGTGGGCTAAAAAATTGTGAAGTTGTTAGCTTATAGTTGACAGAAACTATTCAGGCAGGAAAAAAAAAAACCTTCAAAAGTCACGCACAAAAGGACCAATCTGCATACTAAAAAAGGAATACATAGAAAACAAAAAAGAGCATTGAAGATATTAATACAAAGGGAGGAAAACTAGAGGATAAAATTTGAAGAAAGTAGAGACCAAAGGTGGAGACAGTATGGTGGTTCAGCACTTTGGAGGCTGAGGCATAAAGCCTGGGAGTTCAAGGCCAGCCTGGACTACAGAGGGAAATCCTATTTCTTTTGTTCTTGTTGTTTGCTGTTTTTGTTTTGAAAATTTTAAGATTTGTTTATTTTGGGGCTAGAGAGATGGGTCAGTGGTTAAGAGCACTGGCTGCTCTTACAGAGGACCTGGGTTTGATTCTCAGCACCCACACGGTGGCTAACAACTGTAACTCCAGTTCCAGGGGGAATCCAACCCCCTCTTCTGGCCTCTGTGGGCATTGCATGACACAGGTGCATTTACATACATGCAGGCAATACACTCATATACATAAAATAAAAATAATAAAATATTAAAAACACGAGTGCTTTGCTTGCATGTATATAGGTGCACCACATGTGTGCAGTGCCTGTGGAGACCAGAAGAAGGAGTTGAAGCCCTTGGAATTGGAATTACAAACAGCTGTGAGCAGCCATGTGGGCGCTGAGAAAGGAATCCTGGTCTTTTGCAAGAGCAGCCAGTGCTGTTACCTGCTGCTGAATCATCTCTTCAGACCTCTTCATTTAAATTTGTTTGTTTGGGTCCCTCCCACCCCTCCGCATCCCCATCCAGCAATCTCCTCATTTTAAATTTTTTTTAAAGACAAGATTTTCCTATGTTACTCAGTCTGGTCTTGAACTCACAATCTTCCTGCCTCCTCCTTTTAAGTGCTGGGGTTTCAGGTGTTGACTTCCCCATACAGCTTGCAACCCTGTCTAAAATCAAACAAACAAACCTACCTACAGTCAATTGGAATCACTGAAAGAAAGAATATTTCCAAATTATCCAAGCCATCAATGACCAGATTAAATACACTCACAGCCACCTGTTACAAAGGACAAACAGATCTACACAACAATACTTTATAGTTAAATTTCAGAACCCTGAACACAAAAGAAGCACAAACTTCCCAACAGATAGAGGAGTTATATCCAAGGGATCAAAAATCACTTTGGATTTCTCAAGAGTAGTAGTGGGATTCCAAGACTACAAATGTATGATTATGAGAAAAATATTTGCAGTGTGTACGTGGCTGAACTAATGGAGAAGTTAGAGTGAGGATGTTCTCAGACTTATCTCAAAGTCTGCTTCAGGACACTGCTGGAAGATGTGATTATCCTTAAAGAAGAAACAAAAGAAGAAATAAAATGACAGGAGGGACTTGGAAAAAGACACATAAGCTGCAAGTGGAAGACGGGGAACCCTGCTGATAGGTGTGAAGGGGTCTTGGATGAGTAGGGCAAACTTCTGGCCTGTGAGAAGCCGAAGCCTCTGTGAGTCAATGAGGAATGGGATTTGGTTGAATACTGGGCTATTTGTAAGTGCCGAGAGGAGATCGTCTCACAATTTGTAGAGTGTTTAGTACTTAGGGAGAAATAATTGCCAATCAATATTAAAATAAAAACTGAAGGAAAAAAAGAGAGTCAGTACTGTGCTCTGACCCCAGAAGAACTTCTTCAGATCCCCCTCCCCACCCCTGCCAGCTCAGATGACATCTTCCTGTTTAACAGCCCTCAGTCAGACTGGACTAACTGTTGAGGGATGGAGCCAGGTCAGGATGGCTGCGTCATATCAGAACAAGCTCTGGTTCTAGTCTATCATCCAACACCTAGTCAGCCTTGGCTAGCAACTTGGCTGAATCGAAAGGAACAAAGAAGGATAGAACAGGCCTTATATAGCATCTGCCTCAAGGAATGTATGTCCCTGAAGAGATGGGTCAGAAAAGAAATGAGTTTGTGATGTGTATGGTGGGTATTGTTTATGGGCATCCAATCCAATATCCACTGTGCATTCACATCTGTTAGCAGGACTATATAACTGGCTGGTTGGCATGGAGTCGGTTGATATGCACAACTTTCACCTGAGACTAATTGATCCAGGTCACCTCACTTCAAATGAACCATCATTTTTGGTGGTTTTGGTATTTTGCCACTGAGCATAAAGAGCTAGGAATTAGGAATTAAGGTCATGCATGAAAGTTTCTTAAAAGTTCCTGGATGGCTGCAGCTGTTGAGAAAAGTATATGATAGTGTAGAAATGTAGGGGTGGGGACAGGATGATATTTCTGTGTAACCCTTGACCTGGTGTTTATAACTGGGAGAACAACATGTTTCAACTCAGCACTGCTGTGGCAGCAATCCACTCCATAAAACAGTGTTGCTCTCAAGATCAAGTCAGTCAACATTCAGCATGGATGGGGAGGGACTCATGAGGGGCCATTCCTCACTGAAGAGCTATTGACAACTGACAGGTGCTGTGGGAGCAGGAGTCATTTTTCTTCAGGGGCATGGCCACTAGTAGGTTATCCATGCTCTGACAGATGACCCCACAGCCATGTGCATGCAGCCAGCACTGACTGGACTCTCAAGGAAGAAGAGGACAGGGAGGGGTCTGAGGGGAGTGAGAGAGAAGATTTGTGTTGGATATGATCAAGATATATTATATACATACATAAAATTGTCAAAGAATAAGTAAAATATTCTAAAAATATAACTATTTAGCTCTTGCTATTGCACTACACATAAGAATTTCAGTTATGTGCTCACTTCAGCAGCACATATACTAAAATTGGAATGATACAGAAAAGATTAGCATGACCCCTGCACAAGGATGATATGCAAATTTGTGAAGCATTCCATATTTTTTCAGAAAAAAAATCGACATATGTTCTCCCTCATATGTGGATCATTGAACCAAATCCTGATAAGTGAGTATGTATCCAGACATAACTACAGGAACCAGGACAATGGAAAGGAAACAGGGAGGTAAAGGAAAAGAAAGAACCTGAAAGAGAAGAGTAGGAAACAGGCCTTAATTAGGGAGATATGGATAAAAATTGGGTTAGTTTAACGGAGGGGGGAGGGAAGGTTATACAAGGAACCTAGGGGATAAAGGGAAAGAAGGATCTCAGGAGAGGTAGGACCATAGGAGAAGGGTATTATTAAGGGAGAAAGGAGAAAAATGGGGGCATCTTAATTGGGGAAACCATGATGGAGGGGTGAGACAATGCGAGAGATAAGTAATGCCTAGCTAGTTTTAAAAACCAGAGGGAACCATATTAGTCCAACAACCTACTGACAAATTATTCATACCAGATCAAGAAATATATGTCAAGGCAATGTTTATCTGAGAACAACTGGTCTTTGCCAATTGTAGATAAATCTTGCCCAAGATTTATCTACATGGCACACAGTAATTAAAAGTACCAGACTGGTGGAACTAACCTTCTTGAATGTTTAACAGACATACTTTGAGGCCTATACTAATTTGGTCAGAGGGACATAAAAGACAGTCTTTGTTCCTTGCCCTCCTAGGTCGACTAGTTCTAGGGGATTATGAGCATCTCTCAAAATGTCCTGTAATTGTGGTGGGTCACCTGTCCTCTTGATCAAGGGGGCCGAGGAGACCCCATGAGATGGACTTGAACCAGTGTCCAGTCTACAAAGAGGAGGGTCAACACAGAGGAATCATTTTTTCCATGCTTCCAAGCAAAGCCAGCCATGGTCGAGCAGGACCTTTGACTTATCTTCACATAGGCAGAACTGGTAAAAGAAAGGAGCCAGGGGCTCCTCCCAAGCCCATGGACCCCTGAGGAACAGATCCTCAAACAGCCTTAAGAGTGAAAATAAATTGGTTTATCTGGGCCAACTGTATGACCTTAAACACCCAAAAGGAAACTATAACCAAAGATTAAAGGGGCCAATATAATTTCTTAAGAGTCCATATGTATAGCTAAAGGCTACATAACAAGCAACAATGCCAGATAGGAGATACCTTCTTTTGAGTTGTTGGCCCAGGTGGCCAGAGAGAA